ACAAAAACTCAGCAAGCATCTAATTCATACAAAGAAAAGATTTGCCAGTTTCGAAATAAGTGTGAAAAGTTATTTGATATCGCGGCCTGCAAGTGCAACATGAGTGGAACACTGTGTGAGTGTACTTGATCCTGTAGAAAAATGGCCAGTGGATATTGCAGCATCTGCTGCAATAAGGAAGAAAACGGAAAGAACCACGAAGGCAAAGGCAAGTTCTCAAAAATATAATACTGAAAAAATTGTTCTTAAAGCATGTACCGTTTATTCCTCAAATCGTTTCATAAGTAGCAACTTGTCTGACTCAAATTCTTCTGATGCAGATGATCATGAAGAAGAATTTATTGCCCCTTTGTCAACAGTTTACAGTCCAACCATTTACGTCACAAATGCGGATTTGCTTGCCAAGTTTAGCTTCGGCGTGCGACAGAACTGGGGTCTCCGATCGTTCTGCTGTAATTATAGCATCAGCGGTTTTAAAAGATATGGGAGTTATAACTGTGACTGATACATCGAAATGATAGAGCGAATGATAGAATGAAAATAAGGCGACAGCATGCATCTCATAGACGTTCACTCCAGAAGCAGAAGGAGGGACTGTCAATCAGAAGTATATTTTTTGATGGGCGTAAAGACAAGACTGTCTTGCAACAAAAAAAAGGCAAAAAGTTTTATAGAAAAGTAGTTACAGAAGAACATGTAACAATTATTGAAGAAGCAGGCTCTCGATATCTAGGGCACGTGTCTCCTTTATCAGGATCAGCTGCAAACATCGCGGATAGCATACAGACATTCAACCTGAAAAATAATATTGATATATCGAAGTTAAGCGCAGTTGGATGCGATGGTACGGTAGTAAACGCTAGCCCTCAAGTTGGCGTTATAAGAAAACTGGAAGAATACTGCGGCACCTCACTTCAATGGCTAGTATGCTTATTTCATTGCAACGAACTACCTCTACGTCATTTAATACAACAGTTAGATGGACGCACCAGTGGACCACTTGGTTTTTCAGGGCCAATAGGAAAACTTCTGGAACGCTATGAAGAAAAAGCTGTCGCCAATTTCTTTGCAATAGAAAACAACCTAACAGTATTATTAGAAACAACAGACCTTAGTACCGATCAGAAGTACTTGTACCAAATCAGTCAAGCAGTTTCTGCAGGAAAATGTCCTAACGATTTGAGCCTTCAAAAACCTGGGAAAATATCACACGCAAGGTGGCTGACAGTTGCTAATCGGTTGCTTTCATTTGTATGTTGGCACTGAATGTCCCAGCTCTCAATTAATTATTTAAGTAAGTTTCATCCAAAAAGTGTATGCACCAGTTTGGTTTTATATAAAACTGTATCCTAGCTGTTCTGATGATTCGAAACATTTATGGCGAATGATACAATGATACATTATTCACGATTTCTACCAGTTGACCAAAGAAGAATTGTCGATGCAGTTATCCAAAGGAATGCTTATTTTGCCCATCCCGAAAATTAATTACTCGAAATGATAAAAAATTAACGAAAACATATACGGGAGCTAGGACTACGCAGAGTGCTGAAAGCTAGACAAAGTCAGAAAGAAAAAAAGATCCGGAGATTTAAAATACCAACATTAAATTTTAGTGCTGAAGATTATATTAACTTAATTTCTATTTCTCAATGCAGTGTTACGGCTCCGCCTTTGCTGAAACATATTTCCAATGAAAATGTAAGGGATATGATTGATTCCGGGAATCACAACAAAATAGAGGTCCTAAACTGCCCCTGTCATACCCAATCTGTCGAAATAACTGTTAAGTTAGTAACTGAAGCATCAGCTGCTGTTTATGGACCAGAATCAAGGGATGGCTTTATTCGTTCAAGGTTGCAGTCTAGAAATATTATGCCGTTTTTTAACAAAAAATCAGACTACCGTTCATAAAATGTATATTGTATCATAAAACAATTATTTTGATTTAAAAAACTAATTAAAAAATAAATTTTTTAAATTTTATTTTTTTTTGTTATTTCCAAAAATTTAAATTCAATATGGAACCTGGAGATAGGGTCAAATCCAAAAAATATTTTTTACAGTTTTATTATAAATCAAAACGCAATCAAAACGCACATCTTGTTCTTTAACATTCATTAATCCGTTGTTGATTTCATCTGTCAGGTGTTGCCATATGAGTGGGTTCCTTAATTAACTTGTATCTATTTTTGCATTTGTTGTTCTTCGTTTTATTATTTTCAATTTGAGCCTAATTTTGGTCACTACTGGGTTGTGATCTCATTCTATGTGGGCACTCGGATAGGCTTTTGCGGATATAATTGCGTTCCTGTATCTTCGTCTAACTAACATATAGTCTATTAATTTTGTTTCTTACAATTTTCTCTTCTTGATCTGTTGGTGACTTCCAAGTATATAGTCTTCTCTTTGACATTTTGAACAATGTATTAGCTATAACAAAATTATTGTTTTGACAAAATTCGATAAGCCTGTCACCCCTTTCGTTTCTGTTGCCCAGACCATATCCTCTTGTACATTCTTCTACTTTTTCTTTCCCAACATTTGCGTTAAAGTCTCCCATTATAATTGTTACATCTTGCGTTTTAATGGATTTTAAAATGTTGTTACTACTATATCTTTATTTGGTGGATGTTTATGACACCATAGTTTTGCCTAATACCGTACATAGAAGATTAAGCGAACAAAATTTATCATCTTATGATTCGGCGACAGGCCCTTTATTAGGGCAAACACAGGCAAAGAAGAACACATAAGGCCGGTAGCTGGAAGTCAGAGTCTACATGACATTACCAATGACAATGGTTCAAGGCTGATTGAGTTTGCAGCAGGGTGCAACATGATTATCAAAAGCACCCAATTTGCCAGGAACAATGGATAATAATGGACAATACCAACTAGAATTGAGAAACAGATTCCAGGTATTGGAAACGAAAGAAAATGAAAGAGAAAATATAGACCAGAAATGGCACTCCATTAAAACGATCAATACAGAAACAGCAGAGAAGTGTATAGGTCGGAATAGAAAAGCAAAAAGAAAAAAATGGTTTGATGAAGAATGCGAGGATACCTTAAAAGAAGCAAACAAAAGAAAAATCGACTACCTAGCAAACCCGACGGATGAAAAGCGTGAACAATACAATAGAGAGAGAGCCTTAGCCAGAAGAACAGTAAGGAGAAAAAAGAGACAACATTTAGAACAACAAATTGAAAAAGTAGAACGTAAACACAGAAGCAAGCAAAATAAAAAATTCTACAAAGAAGTAAGACAACATAAGAAAGGTGCATATATAAGAACACCGAACTTTATGAGAGATAAAAATGAGCAAATGATTACAGCTGAAAATAAAATAATCGAAAGATGGGCTGAATACTTTGAAAGTCTTCTAAATGTCCAGGTAAACGCGGATAGAAATAAAGCAAATTGTGAGTACCAAACGGCCGAGATAGAAGTACCCCCGCCAAGCCTGGAAGAAATTATCACGGCGATAGAAACCCTAAAAAATGACAAATTCCGGGGACTAGACAATATTGATGCAGAACTGATTAAAAAAGGAGGGCATAAACTTAGAACTAAAATACACCAATTAATGAAAGAAGCCTGGGAACAAGAAATAATGCCAAAAGAATGGAGTGGCTGTATTATCGTGCCAATATATAAAAAAGGCAGAAAGGATACATGTGGCAACTACAGGGGAATCTCACTAATCGGTACTACATATAAGATAGTAGCTTCAGTTGTACTAAAACGATTACTGCCATATGTAGAGGAAATTGTTGGCGATTACCAATGCAGCTTTAGGCCTGAAAGATCAACAATCGACCAAATATTTACTATCAGACAAATGCTAGAAAAGTATTGGGAATATAATAAAGAAGTACACCAGATCTTCATAGATTTTAAACAAGCATATGATTCCATAGATCGCTTAAAACTGTGGAATGCAATGATGGAGTTCCAAAAACGTACCAAAGAAGCTGACCATGATTGCGCGAATGTGTGTCAACAATTCTTTTTAATATATAGCAGAGGATCGGATTCAATGGAAGGCAATAGTAAACGCGGCAAAAACTCACGAAGAGTTGTAAAAGCCAATGATGATGATGACAGGCCCTTTATTGAGAGCGTGTCGAAATTTTCTTAAACAGATTGGGATGTGGAAGATCGCAGAAACGTTTTGTTTACAAACGAGTCTCGTTTTAGGAGATATGCATCTGGTGGACGTCACAAAGCAAAGGGAAGGTCTGAAAAATACTATGCTCAATGTTGCTTCTCCCTTAGATTACAGTTTGTTAGTGGAGTACAGTGGTAAATTAGAAAAGGTGGTCTTAATGCGTATAGATTCATTAAGGAAGATCTGGAAGAACATGTGGTAACTTATATATATTTTTTAGCTGATACTTTTCTTATAATGCAGTATAACGTTCGATCACACATAGGCAGGGTAGTCGGGCACTAGCTTGGCTTCCTAGATCTTCACACCTTATAGGCAAAAGCCTGGAAAGTTGGAAACTGTGATAGTATTAAAACATGTGCTGGTAAACACGTGGTAACAAATACCACAAAACAAAATTGCTCCTTTGATCCAGTTTACGCCAAAAAGAATGAGAACTCGACGAAAAAATATTCGATTTTAATATAGTTTTGCTAATATTTCTTAATTATAGTTAAAATAAACTTAGTGTCCGGTAATTTTACAAAGTATTGTATAAGAAATTCGAATAAAGTACAAAAAATGAAATGAAAATAAATAGCGAGATTGTCTTAGAAGTTAGCTAAGAGAACTCTTTGACAAATCAAAGAAAATAGACTATAATACGAGAGCCAGAAAATTTAAAATTTTTTTAGTAATCTAGTTATGAATGGTACCACGTATAAAATCTTTTTTTACCTTATATTTACTAATTATTCTATGTATTTATTAAACATATTGTAAATTATAATAATATAAACAAAAAGTGACAAGTATAAGTAATAAGTGAAAATATATAACTTTTACCATTTAGGGCAAACGATGATAATGGTAGTGCAGAAGGTTCGAGTATTGTTGAAGTCGTTTCGTCGCTATCCGGTTCTTCCGTGACGGTACTTGTTTTACTGGCGATTGCTTCTAGTGTTTCTCTCATTATTGTCCAAATCCAAAAACAAATACTGGATGATAGACAGTGCATCATACCGAACTTTGCTAATACTGTGTATTTGTTTATAACGATCTAAAATGATGAATATTAGATAGCAAATATAACGTATCACTAAATCAATATTTATACAATCTATAAAAACCATATTAATAAAGTACTGGTTCAAAATAGATTCATAGTTTACGCACCTGAAATTTTGTTTTTTTTAGTAAAACTGTCTTGAAGAATAAAGAAATGAACAGATTGCTGCGATTTAATCGGTGCGTTAACGACACGATTTATCTCGCAATATAAGCGACAGCGTTTTTTCATGTCATGAACACATTGCTGCAATTAGTCGCTGTGACGAAGACGTGTTCTCTCTCACTGATCACAATGAACCGACGACTACAACATAATCCGGAATGGATTCTTCAAATATAAAGGAAGATTTGATCTTGCTGGTTGTTTTAGCAGATGAGGAGGATGAAAGGTAAAATATACAAATCATCATCTTTGGCTCGACAATCCTCCGTGGATCTTGGCCTGCTCTAAAATTCGTCGCCATTCTGTTCGGTTTCTGGCAACCTTCTGATTTTTAATATCCGTAAGTCGGTTTCAACTCATCTAACCACCTAATTGGCGCGGTCGGCCTTTGCTTCTTCTTCCTACAGGTGTTCCTGTGGTTAGCTTTTTAGCAATCGTATTTTGTGGCATCTGTGGCATAATGAACGTTATGACATCTAGCTCATCAAAGAGCTGATAAAATTCAAAATTATATCTTCTGCTCCACTGCCTTTGGTCGTTTATAGCTCCAAATATTTCGCGGAGTATTTTACGCTCGAATATTCCCAAAAGTCTTTCATCTTTCTGCGTTAGAGTCCATGTTTCTGCTCCATATATGAGGACCGGCCTCAGCAATGTTTTGTATATAATAATTTTAGTTCTTCTTTGAATATTTCTTGAGTGGAAATGCTTTTGGAGTCCATAGTATGCCCTATTTGTAAGATTTATTCGTCTTTTAATGTCTTCGCTTGTTTTATTGGTAGCAGTCAATAGCTACCCAAGGTATGTGAAGTTGTCAACACGTCCAAAGGTATGACTTCCAAAGACTGTTTCTCGTTCCTCATTTGCTATCGTTTCCGTTGTAACCAACATGTACTTTGTTTTAGTCTTCGTTGAAAACTAGACTAATTCGTTTCGCCGCTGTTTCCAATTCTAGAAGATATTGCTCAACATCTCGCTTGCTACGCCCTATTTTGTCAGTGTCATCAGCGTATGCTAAGACTTGTATCGGTCTATTGTAAATAGTACCGCCATCCCTAATTCATGTATCTGGGACTGCCTTTTCTAAGGCAATATTACATAGGAGGCAAGCCAGAGCATCCCCTTGTCTGAGTCCATCCTTTATGTCAAAATTCTAGAATTCTCTACCTGTATTCTAACAGTGGCTTCTAATTTAGACATTGTCATTCTCGTTAATAGAATAAGTTTCTCTGGTATACCAAACTCATGCAACTCTTGACACTGTCGTATGCGGCCTCGAAGTCGACGAATAAGTGATGGGTTTCAATATTGAATTCTAATGTTTTCTCGAGAATTTGTCTTATTGAATGAATCTGGTCAATTGTTGATTTTTCTGGAGTGAATCCAGCTTGATATTTTCCAACTATGCCCACTGTGTAAACTTGCAGCCTTTCGTAGAGAATATTTGCTAGTATTTTGTAAGCAGTTGTTAAGAGGGTTATACATCTATAGTTGTCACACTGGAGCTGGTCACCTTTTTATGTAATGGGCATATCACGCCTTAAGACCATTCACAAGGCATGGTCTCATTATGCCAAACAAGAAGTAAAAGCTTATGCAGTGTCTGTAGTAGGGCATCGCCACCATTCTTGTAGAGCTCACTGCAAATTTGATCAATTCCTGGTGATTTATTATTTTTAAGCTTCTTAATGGCTTGGGCAACGTTTTCGATGGTAGGTGGTCTTTCGTTCAGGTTAAAAGGATTCCAATCATTTCGATTTGCTAGAGCGTTACCCGCTTCTTCGATATGATGGCCATTAAATTTTGAATCAAAAGACTGATATGTTTTTTGTACACACTTATGATAAGTCAAAAGAAAAGGCACAAAAGTATTTAGACATATATAGACAGAATAGTCTACCTCCTCACAGCAAACAATGGTCGGGTTTTTACACCCGTACCATGACAAACATTTTTTAAATTTTTTAATGTGTCTGTGAAGTCCAGTGTCGGTTTTTTGTATGTTTTTTTAAGAATTTTAACCACTAAGTAATTAAATAAAAAATCAATATTTCAACAAATAAGGAAATGAGGTCTCTCCATTGCAGTGGTATTTATAAATTGACCATAGCTCCGATGATGGCTTTGTAGCCGAAAGCGTTCAGCTAGGAATTATTAAAAATATACACACTTCAAAAATACTTTTTTGTCTTTTCTTTTGACACTAAATTTTGCATCGAAAAATTCAACCGATCTGTTTAGGATTAAGGCCGTATCATTTAGAATGTTTCCTTTTATATCCTTACAACTCCTTATTCTTGGCTTAAACTCTTTGCGCATTTTGTTAAGGTTCTGTAGAACTTTCGAGTTTCATTTTGATTTCTTAGCCATTCTTTGCTTTCCAACTGCTTTTGCTCAAATTGTCTTTTTTTTCTTCTATGTAATCGTTTTTCTTCTCTTCCTAGGGTCCGGTATTCTTCCTTTGCTCTTCTTGTGCAAATCTTTATATGCTTGATTTTTTTTAGGTATGTCCTGTTTTTGTTATCTGTTACTTCTTGGCACTCCATTCGTTTTATTTAACTGGTTTGGTTATCCCCAATATTTTTGCTGCTTTCTCAGTTATTATGTTTTTACATTTTGTCCACAGTTTCTCTACAATTTCCCCCACCTAAAGGCTCTCCATTTCCTCGTCTATTTGTCTCCTATACTTTCTCTCAACGGTTTCAATGCGCAGATTATCAACATTAATTCTGTCTTGTTTCGTGTGTTTATCTTTCTTTAGGTTTGATATTCTTCCTCTGATTTTTGTCATTACAAGAAAGTGGTCACTGTCAATGTTTGGGCCTCGGTAGCTTCTACGTCTATGAGATCGGAAGAGTGCCTTGAATCTACCAGGATGTGATCTATCTGGTTATTGGTTTCGTGATCAGGGGATTTCCATGTTACCTTGTGTATAATTTAATGGGGAAATCTTGTTCCTCCTACTATCATGTTTTTACTACTTGCAAAGTTTATTAGTCTCAATCATTTGACTCTTCATGTAAGCTCTCACGTCCTATAGTTGGCTGGAAAAAATGCTCTTTGCCAATTTTTGCATTAAGGTCCTTAGCAACGATTTTCACGTCATGCTATACATTCATTTATTAGTGCCTCGATGTTTTCATTTCACCAATATGGTATCCTGTTAATATCTTAGTGACTAATATTGCTTCCCTCCATTGCTTATTTAATGACTCTCTCCAGGCTTTCCACCGTCCACCGTTGATTGACCCTGCTTTATGTTCACTCTCCATTTAATTAGCTCCTTAATAGTTCCAGTTATCGAGAACGCGATGTACTGATGTTCAGTTTCGGTGTACTCTGACAAAACCGTCCAGCCTCTTGCTTTCGCCGATTTTCCTTGTATCCTCATAGTCACGTGGACATACGTACCTGTAACTTTCCTAACAAACGTAGGCTCGAGACCTGTGTTTAGAACCACTAGGTGTAGAGTACCCACCCAGTCAGTTAGTATCCTGCCGCGAGTATCAGTGATAGGAGATCCCCACTTTGCTGCTTTTGCGTTAAAATCTCCTAGCACTACGTATTCTCATAGTGTGTTTCCCACTTCCTTTATGATCTCGTCTATCTTCATCTCGTACTCGCCCACCGTCACGTTTGGAGAAATATAGCAGCAGACCAGCCGCACCTTCTCCATGCGAACTATCACATATCCTTCTTTTGGCTTAATTTCATACACTCGCAGCTTTCTATTGTGGATTTGTAGAACAGCCCTTCAGATCGTATCTACAAACCATCCTCTTCTCTTCATCGCTAAACTTCAGGCATATTTTTTAATTTGCCACATGCCCATTCACGTCGCAGTTGAGGCATCTGATTGTTTTTCCCTCTCTACCCCTGATTTTATTACTCGGCAGGATATGTAGTCTACTTCTATTCTTTTTATTTTCAAAATCTTTTCGGCGGCGTCTTCATCCACACCGATCATGGCACTCATCATCCCTCTTACTGCGCCTCGTGTCTCGGTTCACATTTTTATGATATCACAGGACCGCTTTTTGCCAGCTGTTTTCTCTGTGCCAGCTACTTCCTTCGTTGTATTGGGTTGGATTTCCTGTACCAAAATCCTTCTCTTCACGATGTCTTCTTTTGCCACTGCTCTTGACACGCATGTATTATCAGTGAGAAGTTTATTCACTTCCTCCGCCATTTCCCGTCCTCCGACCAACTCCCGTGATATTGCCTGATCTCTAATCTGTCTGATCCTTTTTATGTCAATGTCCTTTCTTCCTGTTACTTTGTTTTTTTACTTCTGTCATTAGATCCACAAAGGATTTTTCTTTGGTTTTACTGATGATTACGACTCCATTTTATTCTTTGGGCTTGGTGTTGAAGTTGGTCCACATTCTTGTTGTTTTTTTACCTAGAAGTGTGATCGTTACATCTCTTCCTCTTGCAGCCCACTCCATAATTCTTCTCGATGTCTCAACTCCCAGTGCTGCCGTTATGTGGATTTCCAAGTTTTCTCTTTCTAGCTCTTCCATCTTCTGTACCAGTTTGCTGTACGTTTTTCAGGAACTTCTCCAGCACAAGTTTTTTGTTTGTTTGGGAGAAGTTTAAATCCATGCTTCTTCTTGTAGATCCACGTTCCATCTTTATAAGCAGACATCGTGACTTTTATAGTTCCCAGGCCGCCCTTCTCGTCCACCTCCGCTGGAGCACCTGGTAGCTGCGGAAACATAACTTTGGCCTTTTTTTTTGGCTTTGTTGTCCTCGTCGTCGTCGGTGACAAAGACTGCCACATCTCCTGTTATTTCTGAGATAACTCCTTCTTTCACTGTCGTCCTAGTGAAGACCTCCTCTGGTCAGTCTTCATTTAGAAACTATTCTTTCCTTTTCTTTCTTGCATGTTGTCATCTTGTTCACGATAGTGTCTACCCTTCATTTAATGGCTTCTCTAGGGAAACCCATTGTCGAAAACTTCTTAACTGGTTTCATGTTGATTTGCACGCCTCTGGATGTCATACACACATACTTCCTTAGAGCCTCTTTTTTTATTATTTTCCTCCCCTTCCTCGATATAATCGGACATCCGATTTCTCAGGGTGTCGACCTTCCTTTTTATGGATAGCCTTGTATTTGACACCTTTCTCATAGGTTTCCCCAGTTCTGCTACGCTGTACTTCTGGAGACGCTCCAGATTTGATCTAGTTTTGTAGTTCAATGGCTATCCCTATTCCTCAGAACTGGTTGTTTCTGTCTTGTTGCTTGGATTTTTTGACCTTTTTCTTCATTCATCATCAAAGCTGTTTCCGCTGTCCGAGCTGCTTGCTTCTTCGTCTTCCTTTGTTTCATTTTCTTTTCTTAGAATCTCCTCCCTCATTTTAGTTTCTCCTTCCGTCTGCCTGTTTTCTTTTTTTTTGTTTCTCTTTTTCTTCTTCCTTTATTTCTTCTCCCTCTTGGTTTGCTCTTTCTCCCTTTCTTCCCTATCTTTACCTATAACCTAACTTAACCTTACCTAACCTAACCTAACCTAACCAAATTACGGGTATTAGAATTTTCTATCACCAGCGGTTTTTGTATTCCTTTTTACTTGAAAAAAATTTATAGTGAGTTATTACGTAGTAATAAAAGAATATTGCATTTCTTATATTTTTGTGAGTGCAAGCTTACAATCTAAAGTAATTATACACAAATTCCTTGGTTCTGGTAGGAAACTTTGTTTAAAGTTTTACTCAAATGTATCAAACGTTATTTAAACGGTTTAAGGCATTATTTTTTTATATTAATATAAGAATTACAGAAAAAAACGAACATTTTCTATTTATGTTAAATTATAAATCAAATCATCTTAATTGTTTGTAAAAATAAAAATAAATTATAAAATGTACTTACGTTTGAGTATTTAAAAATGAAAAAGAGTACAAAAAAAGAGTAAATTGGATAAAATATATCTAGTAGAAGTGTGGGAATTGATCCACATTCATAAAAGGCTGCTCTATCTTCTCGGTCTCCTGTTAAAAATAATAGTTGATATCCTATCAAAATTCCACTATGAATAAGGTGTCCAAAGCAAAAAGCTAAAAAGAAACATTATCTTAACAAAATCACCGCATAATAGATATGCCTAGAATATGTTCTATACTACTTTGAACTACTTTTAGGTTTTGTATTTTTAGTATAATTCAAAATCATATCATGTGGTGCGATATCGAAAAAAAAAATAAAATATACATAAAATATAGATCAACCATCAAATCTATTAAAAAAAACAAAGAAAAAATCTTTTTCACCCTTTATCGCATACGAAACATTTAGGGTTTTAAAATTTTAAAGTGTTGTATGCATAATATTCACCAGCCATTGAAAAGTCTGAATAGATCACAGCTAGTACTCATTATACTATGCATCTCTAGGTTTGGTTGCCTACCAGTTAAGAGAAAGATTGTCATAACCTCATTCGTTTGTACACGTGTAGTCAATGAACGGTATCTTATGGATTACTCCAATTTGAAGCAAAATTTTTCACCGAAATAGTAATGAATACAGAAGTTTTTAACAACTTACGTTTCGCAGACGATACAGTTATAATGACGGATAACAACAATGATTTACAAAACGTAATGCAACGCGTTAAGGAACGCTGCTATGAGTACGGACTGAAGATAATTTTAAAGGAAACTAAATGCATGACCATGACTAAATCTGCACATGCAAATATCCAATTGACTATTGAAGATACTGCATTTGAAAGTGTTAATAACTATAAATATTTAGGAACATAGATAACATCAGATGTAGACCAAACCAAAGAAATTAAGACACGTATTAAAATAGCACGTAGGTACATAATTCATTAAACTTAAAAAGTTTCTTTGTTGTCGGGATATAAGGTTAGAACTACGCCTGAGAATGATTCTATGTTACGTGTCCCCTACTCTTCTTTATGGCTTGGAAGCGTGGAAACTAAAACAAGTTAATCTGAATAAGTTGGATGCATTTGAGTTTTGGTGTTAAAGAAGAATCATCAGAATTATCGCCACCGTTCGGAACGGACAAGCACCCTAAGAACAAGAATATTATTATCAGAAACAATGTTTACTGACAATAAATTAGTAAAAAGTTTATCGAAAATGATGCAGTAAAAAAATTATCCTAAACCTACAAGTAAACCTTGAATAAAATTAAATATATTCTAAATAAAAAAAGTTTTACTCCTTACCTGCTGCACCAATTTTCAAATAAAAGTTCGTACTATGTCGATCCTTTTTAAAACAATAGCTATGTTGAAAGGGTTTTCCACTTTTTAGTAATTCTGGTAAAACTAAATCAAATTCAAAATCTCCCTCTTCAGTTTTTGTCACTTTTAAATTCTCACCGGTAAAATTTTTTTCCAATGCGTTTTCGTATTTTTCCTTTTTATGTGAGAAAATTGAAATATCGATGATTAAAAATGTTATGTATAAGAATGATACTATAACCAGATAGAGACTAAAAATCTGAAACATATTGCATATTTGTGAGTAATTAATATAAATTTATAAACACAATACAAAGAAGAAACACGAAGTTTTTAAACATTTGCGTAAGTTGTGCAAAAAATGTTTTAATTGGTTATGACCTAATCAAATTTTCTATGTGTTCTATGGAAGGTTGGCAGTAACTTTGTTAACTATATATATATATATATATATATATATATATATATATATATATATATATATATATATATATATATATATATATATCGGAAAAAAGGAGTACGACCGTCAATCCAATTAAGGGTCACTCAGACGAGTGGTGGGTTCTTATATCGGTCTCTAGGTGGAGAAATAAAAGACAAAGTTGATAGGCTACTTTATCTATTTTGAAGACGTTTCGCTTTCGAGTTTTGAAAGCATCATCAGTTCATCTAAAAAAGTACAATATGAGAACCACACAATCATGGAAACGATGTTAATTGTTACCTTAAAAAGACATGTAGCAGTCAATGTTAGTAACAATAATGTGAATGAAACTAAGTAAATGGACATAATACGCTGATTTTGTATAAACAATTAAGTAACTAACAACATATGAACTTATAAAATTAGCACAGCAAATGACCATGTGGTCTAAAGTAAATTAAATGTTATTTAATGTTAATTAGTGAGCAAGAACCAAGAAAATCATAGATAACTTCCAACTATTTTATGATTGTTAAGCTTTGATTTTAACTTTAGGTAGCATTATAAGTGATATTAATAAAAATTATAAAAGTAGTGTAAATGAAGTTACCGATCAAAGCCCTACAAGTGTCGCCGGGAAAATGGCGTTAGATGAACCGGAACGAACTAAACCGCGAAAAGACAGCCAACCTTGAGGTCAAAATACTTTTGACAGATCAACAAGGTGGAGGTACCAACCCAAATAATTGGGCGGTCAATTTAAAAGTTCAAATGAGTTTGGATGACTACCCGGTTGTAAAAGACAAAACAGTGAAAGAAACTGGTATTGTAATAGCAACTCCTTTCACTAATCAGCCCAGATTTACAAACAGGAGATTTTCATTCAACCTCATATGTATGTAATAACGTTAATCATTATGGCTAGTTAATCAGCCACAGGTGGTTAATGACCCATTAATTTCCAACAGCCCAAGGTTCATGTACTTGGAACTGTGATTTGCAAAGGATTCTATGAATCAATTACAATATTTGTATTATTTTATTTAAGTATAAAATTGTTCACACTAATCAAAGTAATCAGTGTATGAAAATGCAATGTAAGTTGCATATGTAATAGTAAGTTAAGTAAAGAATATTAAATTATTTTATTTAGTTATTTTATGTATTTTATTTCTATTTTATGTATTTTATTTCTATTTTATGTATATAAATTATTTCATGAAAAATGGAAAAAGGTTCAAGTAGTACACCTAATATTAGATGTTTTTTGTTAAGAAACTATCAAAATTTTTCAGAGAAACATTTATTAGAATAGGACATTTTTTTATTAATATTTTTTGTAATTATTATGTAAGCAGCAGTTTTATATAACAAACTAATTTTATTTGGTGAGTCAACAAATTTTTTTTATTTCCAGTTCAACTTTGTAAGATATTTTGTATTTTTTAGAAGCTCTTGATAATAATTGTAATCACAATTGAAAGCTCGAGTAAAAAAATAGTCAACAAATACCCCCTTTTATTGACTCCAACCCATCCAAAACAGTTTTATATTTTTTCCAAACGAGTCACAAGTACTTCTTTTTTCTTATATATATATATATATATATATATATATATATTTATATATATATATATATTATATATATTTATATATATATATATATATATATGAAAAGACCTCATCGATGAACGACGAACAAACAGTGCTTTAATCAAAGGTAATCAAAATCAATCAAAAAATCAAATGTTTGTTCTTTGTGCATGGTCTCTAGCACAAGTTGTTTAGATCTATGTGCTGTCCACAGGATTGTGGAGCATGCGATGATAACACTAAAACTTAAGCGCTTCTAATTTGTTAAGGTTTTTAATTTTTGTTGTCCAGGTTTCATATCCATAAAACAAAGAGGACCAGACGTAGCACTTTAGTACTCTTACTACTCTTTAGGCGGGTGGTTAATGATAGACTTCTACTGCACAATAGATAACGCCAGTTAATAAAGATTTTTCGTGCAAGTTCTCTTCTGATCGAAATGTCCTCGTCACTTCTAACCATGCAGACAATCCAGCTGCTTTAATATCTAAAATATTTTACTCCTTTTCAGTATTTTGTTAACTTATTTAGTCCGATATTAATTTTTTTGACCACTATCACCTTTTTATAGTGTTTAACAGGTATTGAAGGTCTCCTAGATTCTTTGTCATTATGACGATCTCATCTCAAAAACTGGTTCATTGTAGGCATTAAGCAACATCGGTGACATAACAAATCACTGTCTGACACCTGCTTAATAGAAACTTCGGCTTTAACCTTTTGATCCACGTTAATATTAGAACTCTGATTATAGTAAAGATTTTTGATCCATATAACATCATACGGGTCCAGACCCACTAAGTCTCAACGTTGAAAAAGTAATTTATGTGGTACTCTATCAAAGGCCTTTTAAAAAATTTTAAAACAAATATCAACTTAATGCTCTTTAAAAAAAAAAAGATGATGCAATATATTACGCAAAATTTTTTTTAAAACGTTTATAACTCATTCGAATAAGATTGCCAGGAAATTAAAGATTGTCAAAGGGTATTAAATCAAGAAGACACAAGTACAATTGAATCCGTGAGATCTAAAAATATGACAATCCATTTTTTGCCAAATTTATTTAAGAAAGTAGTTTTGTTCTTTTTACCAAACTCTACAGACTAAGTCAAAGAGAGATAACATTACATCACATTTAATAACTATATTAAGTAAAATCTTTAGGGTATCATTCCTGGAATGTTATCCCTTTTGGCCTCAACGAATTTATTTTCATCATTGACATCTAAAAGGATAATACTCCAGTTTTATATATTCTATTCTTTTTTGCTTTTTATTTTCTACCCTTTTTTTTACTTTTCACTTATCACTTGACCATATTAACTTCTCTCCAAAACCATATTGTGATAGAGTGTTTGTTATTAGATCATCTTTTAAGGTTATGTTTTGTATTGTATGTTGTGTAAAGTGAGTTTAGTTTGTTCTAATAATTAGATAATTATTTAATGGTTTATGATGTCTAATATTAATAACTCTAATATTCAGTCTGCTGTGAAAAAAAGAGGTAGTGGGGTAATAAAATTAAAAGAAAAGGAAGCCAGAAGGGATGGATCAGAATTTGTCAAATCCAAAGGTGTTTTGGTTAAAATAAGGAAGACTGGGCCTACCTATTTGTGTAAGAAAAAATGCACAGATTTATTTTCTTCTGAAGAGAAGACACTAGAGAATAAGTCAGACACTTTTTTGATGGGCCTTATAAACAGATCCGATGTGACTAGACCAGAGGCCTAAATATAAAGACTCTAAACAAATACAATAATCTTGTAAGTATTTTTCATTACGAAACAAGACAAAAGTGAAAGTTTGTAGAAAGGCATTTTTAAGTTTACATTCAATACGTAATAGAGCAGTAATAGAGCTTCCATATAATAAAAGAGGGTTGCATGAAAATCACCCCAAAAAATCGAATGATATTTTTCAAAAAATTCAAGATCATATTGAATCATACCCAAAGAAAACATCTCATTATTCATCCAAGACCGTTTTGTATTTAGATGCAACTTTAATTAAAAAAAAATCTATGATATGTTTTTATATAAAGATCCCAAAATTTCGTCAAATTATGCCAAGTATGTGATCTCTTTAAAATGCCATCAGGAAAACTTTGATTTTAAATTCGGCAGGCCTCAAGTTGACGTCTGTTCAGTCTGCGAAGATCTCTCTATGATAATAAAATCTCTTAAACAAAATGAAAAGTTATCAGCTGCGGCTGATATTGTTATTTATACATAAACGAGGAGCTAAAAAATTTTATTTTAAAATAAAATGTGGTCCAGAAATGTGCAATAACAGAACAGATATTATGGTAATTACTTTTGACTTTATGCAAAATGTATAGTTGCCTGCATTACCTGTGCAGGAAATATTTTACCTGCATAAACTATGGTTGTCTACTTAGACAAGGAAAGAGAGAGGACGGGTAATGCTCGTTCAACCAACCTTCAAAAAGTGATGCCACTTTTTGATGTGTCCGCCATTTTTTTGGTGGCAAACAATAGACCTGACACCAGTTTTGTTTTTGTGGTTTAAAAAAAAAGTGAATTAAATACCTATTTTTTAACTTAACAAAATGGTGAAATGTGCATATATTCTTTGTAAAAATCGCAGCGAGCAGAAGACAACAGGAATATCTTTTCATAGGTAAATATTTATAATAGTGGAATTAGGTATTAATTGATTTTCCTTTTTATTTAAATTTTAACCTCAAAACCAATTTAAATTAGTATTTTAAGGAAAGGTGAGATCTAAATTACTAAATAAGAATGCTAAATATGGATAGTTATTTCAGTAGTTGTATTATAATTAATAATTTTACTCACATAATGATGATTTGAAAGTGGCAGTGGGCGTTGAGGGTTAAAATTCCATAAAATATTTCTTAAATAAGTAAATAAATAAATAAATTTCGTTAATTTTGATTCCAAAATATTTGTATAAAATAAAATAATTTAAATAAAACATTTAATGTACAAAAATGTTTCATTTTAAATACGATTTAGTCAATCCTTAAAAATACAAAGATACGCCACTGACCACTTCCTCTGGTAGCAGTTTGGCTTCACTTTTAGCGATACGGTTACGCGTCCTCTCTCTTTCCTTGTCTAAGGTTGTATATCTTTAGTGTCCATAACCTAACAACTAATGAAGTAGTATTTTATAAGGATTTAGGGAAAAAAAAGGGTCTAACGATGTTTGTACGATGGTATCTAAGTACATTAGAGTTAAAATACCCCCTGAAGTAAAAGAGTTACATGTATGACGCTTTCAGTGGTCAAAACCACAACCACACCAATATAATACTGTTCTTAGCACTAACAATGACAGGAAGGTTTAACATTAATTACCATTATTTTCCAGTTCGCAGTCACAGTTTCTTACCCAGTGATCGCGACTTTAACATAACAAAACGTGCTATTCGTAAACATAACCGTATTTTTACACCAGAAAAATACAATAACATCATTCAAAAAGCTAAAGTAAAAGCTTTAAAATTTCTAGTAGTACCATTTAACATCTAAATTTTCTTGATTACAATCAATGGTGGCCTTCAATATTCAAGAAAACTACAAAAAGTCAAGAGTGGACCTTCCTACACATCAAGTCTATCACTCATGTTGCCAGTGAAAGATAACAAACTTGTTGATGTCAGAAAGTTTATGCATTAAATACCAGAGAAACATAAACATTTCTACGAACAGATCCTAAGTTGGAACCAACCGATTCATCATCAATAATCCTATATTTGTTCACTGCTGAACGTAGGCCTCCCGTAAAATTTTCCACCTATTTCTGTCTTCAGCTTCTTGCATCCAGTTTGTGATGCGCTTGATATCATCCGTCCATCTAGTCGGTGGTCGTCCACCGATTCGATCGTCGTCATCGATTCAAATGGAAGAAAATAATGAATATCTTATTAGTGATTTAAGTGGCGATGAATAAACTGTATAACAGCATTTAAATGTAAATAAATAGGTTTGTAGTAACAAAACAGCGTTGATTTTTTACTTGACTTCTAAAAGGATAACATTCCAATAAGTAAAGTAGTAAATACTCAATAAATGTGTACATATAAAACCTAATTGTTATATAAATATCTTCTGCTTACACCATACTACAAAAAAGTAATTAGGAGTTTTATGCTGTTAAAAATAGTTATAAAACAGATAAAATGTTTATTTTAATTTTCCAAAAGTAAAGTTTTTGGAATTTCATCCTTCTACATTTTACTGATTCAATTTGGCTTATGTAAAAAGTTAAGTAAGTTTTGTAGACCTAATAATCTCTTTTGACAAACAAGCAATGACATGATATGAACCCATAAAAATAGTTAATAATTTCGAAGAGACCATTGATAGTATTCTTGGAATAACTGATCAAATTGTACACAAAAGCTTAAAACTAGAATGCTTAAGATCGAAAGTTTTCAAAAATTAAAAAAAAAAAGTTGATATTGGCATAAAATACAGATATAGACCTACAAAATGCCCCGGTATGTAATTAATATATAACATTTTACTATGAAACATTTAAACCAACATTTGGTTATTATTTGTTTTTAGAAAAATTAAATTTGTTATTTGTATAACTTTATTCTACTTTACGATGTGAAATAATGTTTAGAACTTTTTTGTTTAGAAATAAATAATATGTTTTGGTTTTATTTTAAGCTTTTTATAATGTTCATGCCTTTTGTATATTTCTTGTTTTTTTAAGTTAAACTTTATACTTTTAAAGTGCTTATTTTAACTTTCTTTATGATTTTAAACCAGACTAGTTATTAGTAATATTATGTAAATGCTCTTTTTATAAAAGATTGAATAATCGACATTTCACACGTAAAATACTTTTAAATAAACCTTTATTTTCATATTATCTAATTTTTATAATAAAATAAAAACTTACCTCTGCTGTTTGGTTAGAGCTATCTAAGATATCTGTTACATATAGAGCAAGTCCAACTGTTATATTAAATAGAGCGTAAAATATACTGAATGTAGTAACGAGTATTCCCCTACAAAAATACAAAATATATTTAGAATTATATATTTTAATGTTAATCATTTATATTTAAAGTTTTTCTTTCCTGATAATTATAGGTAAGCATCATTTTACAAATTTTACAGAAGAAAGAAAGCACCGTCTTATAGTACCCGGTACCTTCGGTACCCCGAGCGACCCCGATGTCCTGTCTAGTTTCATATTGTAGTCCAATCACACAATCTGTGGAAAGTTTTACTCAGGTTTCAAAAACGAAAAGTACTTTAATGCAAAATTGTTATAAGTAGGTACAAAAATACATTTTAACCCAAAACATTAAAGCTACAATCAACATTGAAGAATTTTTGGATATATATTACGGCCAAACTAGCCTTTCAGTTATTTTACTATTTAAAACTTTATTATTATAAACTTAAAAAACATTATTTTATCATAACATAAATCAAATTATGTTATAAACAATAAACAAATGGTACAGTAAAATGTACTGTGGAATATTGTAGGCTTACTCATACAGCCTTAAAACTGACAGAAAAAAGAAATATCCATTGATGGAGAATACCTTAGTCATCTAAAATGTGCAAATGACATCGTTCTTATTGCTAATAATCCTGCGGAACTACAACAACTTATAAGTGACCTAAATGCAGCTAGCAATGGAGTTGGCCTAAAAATGAACTTGACAAAAACAAAACTCATGTAGAACGAGCTAGTGGAGGTCCAAGATGTAATTATAAACAACAGTGCACTTGAGATAGTAGACGAGTATGTATACCTGGGACAATTAATATACAAATCTGGGTCTTTATTTCCAGAAATCAACAGAAGAATGAAACTAGCTATTTAATTAATCCATATATCTAGGGACATCGGTTAACCCCAATAATAATACATCTGAGGAAATAAAAAGGCGAATAATAATTGCAAACAGGTGTTATTATAGTCTATCAAAGTACTTAGCTAACAAACGTCTGTCTCAAAAAAACTCGTATAAGGCTGTATAGAACACTGATAGTCCCCGTTCTCACATACGGATCAGAGGCATGGACGCTAACGAAAACAGATGAATCCGCTCTATCCATTTTTGAAAGAAAGGTGCTACGCAAGATATTTGGAGCGATCTGTGAGAACGGAATATGGAGGCGTAGATATAACTTCGAACTGCAGAATATCTACAAGCATACGTTTGGTGGTAAAGATATTACCACTATAATTAAGCGAAACCGCCTGCAGTGGGCAGGACATGTAGCCCGGGCCCCTGAATCGAACATGATAAAAAATATTCTAACAGCGCAACCTGTGGGAATGAGACGACGGGGTAGACCAAAGCTGAGGTGGATGGATGGGGTAACACAAGATGTGGAGAAGATCGGATTCGGCAACTGGAAAATTCAAGCAAGGGACAGAACAGAATGGCGTAGAAAGCTTGAGAAGGTCGAGGCCCTCTAAGGGCTGTAGCACCAAGATGATGATGATGATGATCATGATGATTTAATTAATCAACTATATAATTAACTTAAGTTTAATTAATTCCTTCTTTTGTATATTCATAAACGTACTAAGCCAAAGTCTTCCTCTGTACCACACCTGTCATTACCAAGTTGGATACCAGTGCCAGCTTTTAACAATGCGTGATGTCATAGAGTTCCACAAAGCATTTTACTCCATCCCAGGAAAAAAGCAAGCAAAATGCGTTCATTTTAAAATACTGTCGGGCTGTCCCACCCAACCCCTAAATAAAGAAGCTTGAACCTATTAAGGCTGGGAAACCCACAATCTTCCAATATTCGGTTGTAAACTACGCTGGCAACAATCTCAACGTTTGCAGGGATGCTTTTCTGAAGGTGTTGCAGCCTATTATTAAGCATAGAATTATAGGACTGTTCTGAAAATTCAAAAACGGTGTATCTCATGTCCCAGTGAAAACCCGTGGCGGAAACCACAAGGAAGTTAAGTTTGCTTCGAAAAAAAAAAACAAGTAAAAGAGATACGTTGAGAAGACATTCGATGACGACAGGATAACAACCAGATAATTATGAAATACGACACAGGACCACCAATCACTCAAGACGAAGTCAAAATTGCAATTAAAGCCACCAAAGCAGGTAAAGCACCAGGGCCCGAAAACTTTTATTCAAAATTTCTAAAAATCATGGGAGACGAAGGAGTAAAATGTCTTACGACAACGTTCAATAAAATCTATGACTCGGGAAAAATCTTAGAGAGCTGGTTAAAATCTACATTTATTGCTATACCTAAAAAACCGAATGCAAAAAAAATGCGAAGAGCATCGTATTATCAGTCTAATGAGCCACATTAGACTGGTAATAAATACTTGAAAAATTCAGTTTACAAAACTAAACCAGCAAGTCTTGCAGAACTAAGGCAGCGAAATATCGATGAATCTCGAATAATATTTAGACACAATCATGGAAAAATGTGGTAGACGCATTCTACCATCGATTAGGGTACTATCAACTCACATGGAGCACATTTTGAACACTTGGTAAAGTAACCATTATGTTAAAAAATGTAATATATCAATTGTTACATTTTAATGTAGTTAAAAATATTTAGTATTAAAAAATTTATTGAGACAATTAGACGTTGCCATACTTTATGTTTGATGTATTTAAGATCTTCCAAACTACATAAAATTATAAGTGTTACATTATGGTTGAACTCGTATTGAATAGGAGATTCCAATAATGACTGAATATACATAGTGATGAATTTAAAAAACCAAATTTACTAATAATATACCAGAAACGGCAAATCTGGCAACATTGTAAATGTTAAATATGGAATCTCCGTATCCCAAAATAGGTGTACCTTAAATTTTGTACAATTCTAACTAGCAATTTACGAGATAATTGGCCGTTTCCAGACTTTTGGGCCACTCTGTATGTGTGTGTATGTGTGTGCTTGTGTGTGTGTATCAGTTATTTGAAGATATAAAATAATGTAGAACAAAAGCTTTGAAGAAAAACTAGATTAACAATAATAATACTGATACTTTCTAGCTTAAAAAATCTAATTTCCTATATCCTGTTACATATTTATCATTCCAATACTTTATTTTCATTTTGAAATTATGTACTAATACAGCACATTAAAAAATAATCGTTTACTTAAAACATGTGCACCTAAAATAACAGCAATATTTCTATCACATGTAAATAGTAAGGATAAATAAAGATATATCAACCCTATTTAAAATATTACCACTTAAATTACTGGTAGAGTGTAAAGAGATAAATTTCTAAATTAATCGTACATGGTGATATTGCATCAGAATACAAAAGAAGCATTAGGATAGAGAGGGTAAATGTGCGCAGCGAAATGATGACTATGGATTACCGTAATTACTGTTCATTCAGGAAATGGCATTAAAATAGAATTCGCAATTGCATATTGTTGCTGTCAAATTAATGCCGGAGATTCATAATAATTGTTGGAATTTGTTACGTTTTCAGATACAAATTTCCAGCCACTGCTTAGAAATTTAAATAAAAGGTATTTAGCTATCTCACTAAATATACTTTTGAGCATCAATACTCTTAAACGAATTTACATTAAGACGTTTAGATATTCTAACACTGACTATTAACTACTGGAAATGTATTAATTTTCAAAGAAGTATAAAACAGCGATAAAAAAAGATTTATGCCACATGTGTGACATAAATTTGCTTTGAAATTTTTTGCTCTTAAAGTTAGCTCTATTTGTGTTAAGATATATTAAAGATGTATTACTTTTGCATGGAAAAGGTATACTTATTAGTAACCTTAAAATTCAACTGTTTTCGAGATAATGGCATTATATAAGCCACCTGCATAATAATTCTTAGCTGTGATATTTGTGCGGTAAAGCACTGAATACCTGTAGATAACCATAATTCATAGTTTATTCTTATTAAGACAACTCACAGATGGTAATGTAACATCAACAAAATGCTTTGTTAAGGCTGCTTAATGTCTTATTAAAGAAAAGATTCTTCATCTTCTTCTTTAGGTGCCGTGTACGTATTCAGACGTTGACCGTCATTATGTTTACAATTTCTCTTTTCCATCGCTTTTTAAGTTTCTATGCCTACTGGCGTTTTATTACTTTTTCCTATTCTTCTTCTTCTTCAAGTTCCACTCCTATCGGAGATTGGAAATCATTCTGGCAATTATAATTTTATTGGTTACTCGCCTGAATAGTTCAATTGAACTGCATCCAAACCACTCACGGAGATTGCGTAGCCACGAGATTTTACGTCTTCCTACGCTTCTTTTACCTTTGATTTTACCCTGCATTATGTTCCTTAGTAGTTCGTACTTTTCACCTCTTTCGTACTTTTTCCTATTGTAAAATGCTAAAATGCCAAAATATGTGGTTTATCAAAATGGTACACCACCACATTCTAGAGAAATGGCAGTGAGAACATACTGAAATACAACTTTTCTAAACGTTGGATTAGTGGTGGTAGTCATATTCCTTGGCAAAGTAGTGAGATAAAAATATAATTATTTAATTCATAAAAAATTACAAAAGCATACTTATTATTCATCACATAAATTGTTTACCCATTTTTATTAGGACAATTAAAAACTAGAGCAGGTATTGAATAACACATATTTATATGTCTGGTTTCATAACACTTTTGCTACATCTAACCTTAAAGACTCAATATTTTCACAAAAACATAATCGTTGGCCTAATACCCGATATTGTTATAAATTACATAAGCAACCAATGAACGAGATACATTACAGTGTAATACATTATTTAACATCTGCGCCAAATAAGATGTAGTTTCATAATATACCATAAGATTTTGATATGTATCCAAGAGAATATATTCATCCATTATACATTATAGCCACCACGTAGACCAGAATTTAGTCTGCTTAATTTTGGTGTATGGGGCGCATAACAACGTGTCTATAAGAATCCCATAAACGTTCGCAACTAACTATGGGAAGAAACAAATACTGCAGCAGTTTCTTTAGAACCAATAATATTTTTTAATATGAGACGGTCTTTTATGGAATATATTGACAAATGAATTATAGAAAATGGTGGACATATCAAACACTTATTTTGACAAAAAGTTTTGTTATTTAGTTTAACTATTTCTTAATTTCGTTTGTAAACAAAATATTTTGATTATGACTTTAATTTAACATAAAACGTAAAATGTTTTATGTAAAATCCTATTATTCCGTTATTTTGTCAATACCTATTATTAGTTATCCTGCTGATATATTGTATTTTATTTAATATTTCCTTAATTATTAATTTTAGGTATTTTATACCAAAATTCAGAAGTATTAATGTTTTTGTCTATTTCTCCTTCGTTGCCTGGTGTAATTGCCTTAAATCAGAATTATGCAGCTGATTTGTAAAATGCGATTATCTGAAAAACTGTTGACTTTTGACGTTAATAACAGGTGCCTTTTATTGTTTAAATAATGGATCGTTAATATTTTTCATTACATATACAGGTAACTTGCAATAGTAAAGGTAAAGCAGTGAGAAAGGACGTATGATAATATAACACAAAAAAGATTACAACGGTTGTCGAGAAAAATAAAAGTTTAAAGGTGCCGAAGAGATGTCAAGCTCTAGGTAAGAAGAACATTGTTAAGCTCGCAGATCGAAATGGAAAAGTGGTAACAGATAAAGATAAGATAATTAAGGTAGTTGAAGAATTTTACACAGAATTATATAGAGAAAGGGGGAAGAAAGACGGCACCAAGTTGAGAAAAGTCCAGAATGTGGGTTCAGAGGATATCCCAGAAATAACAATCGAAGAAGTCTTAAAGTTATTAAATAGAATGAAAAACAATAAAGCAGCTGGTGATGATCAAATCGTTATTGAGGCAGTTAAAGCAGGAGGAAAGATAGTATTGAAAGCATTGACGCAATTATATAACTTATGCCTTTTAAACGAGGTTACACCATCTCAGTGGAATAAAGCTGTTATAGTAGTCATGCACAAAAAGGGAGATATAACAGAGCTAAAGAACTATAGACCTATTAGCTTGTAATCTCACGTTTATAAGTTGTTTATGAAGATAATAACTAATAGGTTGACATCAAAACTAGACTTATATCAACCTTGCGAGCAAGCAGGATTTAGAGCTCGATACGGAACAAATGATCATTTGCAAACCATTAAGTCGTTGATTGAAAAAACCATTGAATATAATAGACCCCTGATACTTGTCTTTGTCGACTTTGAAAAAGCATTTGATACGGTCAATCAAAGTGAAATGCTCCAAGCTCTAACACAATGTAGAATAGATCACCGATACATATCTCTCATCAGATACATCTATCAACATGCTACAGCCTGTGTAAGACTTAATGAAGATACTGGGACTTTTCGTATTGAAAGAGGTGTTCAGCAAGGAGACAACATATCTCCTAAATTATTTACAACTTTGCTAGAATACGCTTGTAAAACAATAAATTGGAACGAAAAGGGCATCAATGTAGATGGAAAATTTTTAAATAACCTTAAATTTGCAGATGATATCGTTCTTATTGCAGACAGCTTTAATCAGGCACAGATAATGCTCCAAGAACTCCATACTGCCACAAAAAGAGTTGGTCTTAAAATAAATTTTTTAAAAACACAATTTATGACAAATTTAGTCCACAACAAAAACATCTCAGTAAAAGACAAAGATATTGAGCCAGTTGACTCCCATAAATACTTAGGCCATGAGATCAGAATAAGTCGAGTCAAACAAACAATCGAGCTGAAAAGAAGAATAAATAAGAAAGGATGAAGGATATTTTTAGGTCTAAGATTCCAATGTGTCTAAAAAGAAAAGTATTTAATCAATGTATTTTGCCAGTGATGACCTACGGCGCAGAAACCCTAACGCTCACAAGAACAACAGTGAGTAAACTACAAGTTGCGGAAAGAGCAATGGAGAGAATTATGTTAGGGATTTCTCTACGTGATAGAATACCCAATGCTACCATACGCAAAAGATCAGGAGTAGCAGACGTTATTGAAAGGATAACTACACTAAAGTGGAACTGGGCAGGTCATGTAGCAAGATCAGTTGATGACCGGTGGACAAAAAGAATTTTGGAATGGAGACCCCGAATACAAGCTTACAGAAATAGAGGTCGACCCCCAACAAGATGGACAGATGACATAAAAAGAGTGACTACAAATTGGATTCAGATGGCGCAAAATCGGACTAAGTGAAAAAGCATGCGAGAGGCCTACGTTCAGCAGTGGACGTTAGAGGCTAGTTGATGATGATGATGTTACAGGTAACTTAAAAAGAAAAAAGGTTAAGTGCAAATTTATGCCACGTATATGGCATATGTGGCGCCCTCTATCAGCTACATCACAGTGTGCATCAGATTATAATTTCTTACGTTTAAAAGTACTCAGTTGTAAATTCAGAAATGTTTAAAAACATAAAAGCTATGGCGAAAAATAAAATCTTAAATTTGCACTTTAACACTCTGTATCTTGCTTAATATCAATATTTTATTGAAGCAATTTGACTTAAATCGCAATATTTTAAAGTGTAGATTCTACTATTTCTTTTTGTACAATTACTAAAGGACCACCCTGTATAATTCATTTTGTACTTTTTCCTGCAAAAAAGTTTAATTTAAGTTATTTTTTTTTAACACAATAATTTAAAATTTTATTACTACAAAAACTTACAATTACAATATGATTAACTATAAATACAGATACTTACGAAAATGTCCTTTTCTTTTCATCATGTGGAGTGGGATTGTCCGGTATAAACGCAGACGGTGTTCGAGGTGTAAGTGGAGACCCTCCTAGATCAGATGCAGAATAACCGCGGTTTATATAAGCTCCATTAGTGTCCGGATTTACAACATTTAATCTTGGAGGTTTAAGCCTCTCCTTGAACTGGCCATTCCCTAAACATGTAGGTAAATTAAAGCTCTGTATATAGTATTAACGCAAAGGGAGTGTCGTGTCCCTTTAGGGGAGTATATTAATTAGAACAGTATCAAAGGTTTAATCATAGTGTTATTCAATAATACACCATTTACCTATATGGTAAATATTAAACGTTTAATAAATAGTTTCTACCATGACTATTAGCGAAAAGAATAATTTCGAAATCATTTTTAATAAAAGAATATGAAAAATTATAATTTTGAGGCAAACTTTTATTTTTATTTTATTTTATTTTCTTAATGTTAACTGGGAATTGTCATATCGTATATAATAAAGTATATTTCATTTGGATAGCAATTACTAAATACAGTGATTTTCAGATAAAACTATCCACTCTAAATAACTTTTAAACTTCAAGTTTTTAGAAAAAACACAAAAACACGTCAATTAATATTTGAAGGGGGAGATATTGTATCATATTTAACGTTGCTGGGAAATACACCCTTTCACCCCCGTATCATCTCTTCATTTTTTTTTAATTACTTGCATATTTTTTTATTTGATATTTGGATTCTCCCATTTGTACTCATTATAGAAATGTATAACACATAATGTTTAAAGTAATTATTTCACAAGAAAAATAAATACAAAAGCAAGAAAACTGGATGAAAAAAAAAACAATTTTATTACAAACATTTAGAATGAACATTTCAACATTTCACTATCAAAACGTCTGACACCAATTGTTTAAAATGACCGCCATTCACTTCCATACAATAGTACAATCTATTTTGAAATTCTTCTCGTCTGCATTTAATTGTCTATATTCATCCTCTGTTCTTTGTCGTAAATTATCTAAAGATTCTGGTTGAGTAGCATAAATTTTTGTTTTTAAATACACCCATAAAAAGAAGTCTAGGAGTGTTAAAGCCGGTGACCTAGGTAGCCAATCCATCATCTGTTGTCCTCTTCTATTTATCCAACTACCGGAAAACGTTTCGTTTAAACATTGTCGCACATGTGAAGCAAAGTATGGAGTGGAGGTGCGTCAACATGTTGAAATACAACGAAATCTTCGGAAAGGTTATCTTGATTTTTTACTATTGTTCCAATACGATCAAGTAGTTGCTTGTCAAGTTTAACCTTTGAGAATGATGTTTGTGAAATTCACGTACAACATGTGGATCACTCTCAGCCCAGTATCGGCAATTATGTCTGTTCACCAAACCATTTAATGAAAATGGCATTCATCCGAGAAGAAAATATTGTTTAAAAATTTTGGATTGTTAATGATGCATTGTGTCATTAATTCGCAAAATTAATAGTAATTAAAAAAAAATAAAGAGATAATACGGGCAGCGAGAGGGTGCATTTCCCAACAACCTTAAATATGATATAATGTCTCCCACTTCAATTTTGACAGATCTAGAATAACTGCTCTGATACAATGATCATCTGCGAAAAATAGAGTTGTTAGACATTTACCACCACCTACATATGACTATTCCCATTCCGGATACCGGACAGTGGAGTGTTTCCTCCACTGCTCTAGCGATGATTAAATATATATTTTAAATGAGGTCGGAGATAGACAATATCCTTGTCTAAGCCTCTTTCTTATTGAAAATGATTAGATAAAAAGTTTCTTTGTTTACCGACACTTCTTGCATTTTTGAAAATATTTGCGATGGCATCCACATACTCTACACTAAGACCTACTTTCGTCAATGTTTGAAACAGTTTTTTCAACGTAACCGTATCGTATGCCTTCTCTAAATCTACAAACAAAAGATAGGTAGATAGATTTTCTGTCTTTCGTTTTTCGATTAGCTTCTGCAGAAGGAATATACCATCAGTGCACGATCTTCCTGCACGAAATCCACTTTGCTCTTCTATGTCTTTGTATTCTGATTCTATTTTTTCTTTTATTATTTGACCTTACAACCTTCCACTAAGCTAATAATAGTTATTTCCCTATAATTAGAGCATTTGCGTTTATCCCCTTTCTAAAATGTTTACCTGATGTACCCAACATTCCAATAATCAGGGATATTTTGTCCTTTTAAGCATTTGTTAAATAGTTGAACCAACATCTCATGTAATATTTTTGGTCCATACTTTACCAACTCAATTGGGATGTCTCTAGGTTCTGCTGCTTTACCGTTTTTAGATCTTTTGAGGGCATCTGGTTGTTATCTCAATTATTTGTGTATGTTCGGATATTTCTTCCATTTCGATCTCTTAGAATTTACATCTATCCTCTGTCAGTAAAATCTCATATTGGGGTTTCCACTGTTTTAGATCTATTAACTGTAAGTTAGATTTTTCCTTTCCTTGCTTTCTAAAAGACTTTATCACCTTTCACGCTTGCTCAACTCTTGTTTAACCCATATACCTATCCACCTCTGCACATCTTCGATCCCACGCCATCGTTTTCTGTCCATCCATTCATCTTTTATGATGGCTAGATATCTCATTATGTGTCGTACATTTTCTTTCCAGGCAACTGAAGGCCTTTCCCTTTTTCTCCCTTGTTGTGGTATGTTTTTAAAGCTTTGTTTGGCCATCTATCTTCATTTATTCTCTTCACGTGACCATATTACACTCGTGTCGTTTCAATTTTGTCTACACTAGAATACACAGTTTTTGTCCTTCTTCTAATATCTTCATTCCTGAAATGTTTTTGTTTGGATACACCACACGCTCTCCTTAGAAAATCCATTTCTACTACTTCTATTCTTTTTCTATCTTTTTTCATGATATGCCAAAGTTCTGTCCCATAAGTCAAAATAGGCTCTACCAAGGTTCGACATATTGTCAATTTCTTTTCTTGTCTAATATCTTTAGATCATAGTAGAGAGTTTAGAATGTTAACCGCATTTTTTCTCTGCTGCGTTCTGTTTTCGTTGTCTCTTTTGGTAGTGCCTTTTTTAGATATTATAGATCTGGGATATTTATATTCCTTACTTCTCTTTTTACATTTCAATTAAATTTTTTATATATGTTGTAATCTTCCTCCTTTCTCGTTGACATCCATTTCTGATAAGCAGATTTCTTCTTGTTTATTAACGTTTGCGTATACTCCAACCACCATTCTTGATTTATTTGTTTCATGTTTGTCTTTATACCTTCAAGCTTCACTTGCAGCCTCATGAATGCATTTTTTAAGTTGCTGGGATAATTCTTCCGCTGATATATTTTTTCAGTCTACATTTTGTAATTTTGTGGCCAGTCGTAATGTGTAAAGAAATTTCGTTTACTTTTGTTAGTATCTATTAAAATTTTTGCGAGTTTACAAAATTTTTGTTTTTTTTTTCAGATGGCGAACCTAATAATTTTAGTTAGTTCCTTTTATTATGACTTAGACCATCTATTCTTACCTTCCAGCGATAAAAAAATTGCCGAAACAGAAGCAGAAAACAGTTTGAAAAATAAACGTAGCAAGCTAAATACTCTTGTCGCAAAAAGAGAAATCGGTAATGAGCCATGAACACACACACACACTACACTAGGTACCTGACTGTACCATGCCAATGATCATAGTTGTCGAGGCATTAACTCAATAAAAAAAAATCACTTTCAGTATCCTCTATTACTATTAATGATTCTGATGATTTTTTCATTTTATTTTGTTTATTATCTTGTCAAATTTTTAAATTTTTGGAAAATAAGTATGTTCATGTTATTATTTATGTAATAACAAAACATGTTATTTATGTAATAACACTTCATGTTTGAACAACAAATTTGTTTTTTAAATTGAAATGTGTAAAATTTTAAACAAAACCTGAGTGCAATATAAGGTTATATAACAGTTATTTACGGATATCGTTAAAAACATATTATCTTTGAGGGCAACAGTGGGACAACCAACTTTTTTTCCTATTGTTTTTCACTTTTTTATTAATTAATATAAATTATTTGGCTCATGTAAAATTAGGTACTCAAACAAAATTACACGTAAATCCATTGAAATATAAAACAGTTATTAATTACTGGAAGTTTCGTAAAATTTTCAAATGCATTTTTCTCGAAACTAGATTATTTTACATATCCTACAGTTGCTTTAAGGCTACGATATGTACATGTCGCCTATATATATTTTCAGTGTGTGCTTTTAATTTCCAAATTTCCAAACAATATGGTTTATTTTTTTAAATTTTGGAGGGTAGTATTAAAAAAAAAAGTAATAATTCATTTTTCTTCCGTTGTAAACTTACCTAACATCTGCTCCACTGAACTTGCTGATAAATACTGATTATTGTGGAAACTTGGAATAGGACTGGGACTTCTGCTATTTCCAGGTACAACTAATTTCAAGACCATTTTATCCAATTTCTGTAAAATAAGAAGAATGATACCCAATATGAATATTTATGAAAGTAGATACTAAGAACTCGTGATAAAATTACAAAAAAATCATTATTAGTCGTTATATGTATTTACTTATGGTAAATAATACTGCATGCGCAGTACATCAAATGATTTCTGTATCCATAAACAAAAGTTACCTGGTCACAGCTGCATTGCTCTCAGTAAAATAAATTTGCCTATTTTCACGTTTTAACAGATAAACTTAAGAATTGCATAGTCTTTATAGTTAAATACAGTAACGATAAAAAGTTTAAGAAATAAATTTAAGAAATTAACCCTTCTTGAAACAGGAAACAAAGATTTTATGATTATGTAAGGATGTTGCAATTCTCCAAAGAAAGGTTGCTATTGGTTGGATCAAAAGTCACTTTATAGAAGGGGGATAAAGGATAACATAATACCAAGCTCTTTATGGTATTTTTTTAACTATTTTTTACTAATTTATTAGCAACTTGATAATTTTTCACCCCCCCCCCCTACACCTACCTTAATAGGCGTGATTCGGTTAGCTTTCATGTTTAAAACAGATTTGTCGGAAATCATATTCCATCCTTAGAGAGATATAAGAAAAAATTGATTGAAATTTCAACAGTTCCTACCGCATAATAGAAACCAAAACAGTTACGCTATGTTACTGCTGGTGCGGTCGTTTGACAAAATATAATGAAGGTCTTGCTAAATATCTCCTATAAATGGAAATTTGTTCTAATTTTGTTTCATTTTCATCATTTTCTGTTATGGTGGTAACGGGTAGGTACCCCTCTATGATCCGATAGAGGGTAGACTTACTTCAGGGAGGTAGCGCCCCTGCCCACGCGAGCTCCTGGTTTTCCTCTACTCCCTACTTAGGGGAAACCAGGCCCAAACCCCAATATTATCCTACCCAAACCCCAAATTCCTTCCCTATATCCTCCCCCAACTCGCCAACACGTCTGGCCAGCGTGGCGTTTTAAATTCAAACCCCCCGTAAACATGCAAAACACAAACCAAACACGGCCCTCAGTCCCGGCAGCTCAAAAATCTCTGACCAAGGTAGCGGAGAGAAAAGATTAAGAGCAGAGGGTGCTAAGAATACCCAGGATGGACCAGGCTACCACTCAAGACGGCTAAACTGCACAAGAATACTGCATCTTGCATCCTATAATATAAGAACCCTCTCAACCGATCATAAACTAATAGAACTGGGAAAACGAATTAAAAACAATAAAATGGGATGTAATGGGACTTAGTGAAATTAGAAGGAGAGGAGAAGAACAACAAACATTGAAATCAGGACACCTGTTTCACTACAGAGGAGAGGAACATTCATCCAGCGGTGGAATCGGGATCATTTTACATAAAAAACACATACCCAACATAACGAAAATCGAGACCATAAGCACGAGAGTCATCCTATTGATATTAAAACTAAACTCTCGTTATAGTTTAAAAGTTATACAGGTACTATACCCGACAACTGGACACACAGATGAAGAAATTGAAAAATTCTATGAGAATGTAGCAGAGGCACAACAAAGAACACGAACACACTATACTGTTCTCATGGGCGACTTCAACGCAAAACTCGGATTCAAACAAGACCAAGCGGAGATCGCGTTAGGAAAGTACGAATACGGGGCAAGAAACGCAAGAGGGGACATGCTTTTCAACTTTCTACATCATCAATGCATGTTTCAAATGAACTCTTTCTTTAAAAAGCAACCCCAAAACAAATGGACTTGGATAAGCCCTGATGGCGCCGTCAAAAACGAAATCGACTTTATAATTACAGATAAAAAATATATAATACAAGACGTGGAAGTACTCAACAAGTTCTCTGCTGGCAGCGACCATAGGATGATAAGAACAAAAGTAATGCTTAACGTTAAAAAAGAAAGAATTAAGCTTGTTTCTAAACCAAATGTTAGAAGATGGGTACCACCTGAAAATGCAAAACTGTTTGAACGTACGTTCGAAGAAAAATTACAAAATGAAGAAACAGAAAACATAAACATCGAACAACTAAACAAGGAAATAGTCAAAGCTCTGAAACAAGCACAAGAAAAATGTTGCCCAAAAAACAAAAAAGACGAAGAAAAACTAAGTCTAAGCACGAAAACTCTATTAGAGGAAAGAAGACAACTAACAGATAAATGCAGAACCAATCTAACAAAAATGAGACAAACTAAACAAACAAATCACTAAGAACATCAGAAAAGATATAAGAGACTATAACACCAGAGAGATATCAAAAGTCATAGAGGAGAACAAAAGTTTAAAAGTCTTTAGAAGGAAACAGCAAATAGGAAAGAAAAATATTTACAAACTGAAAAATACAAAGGGCGAAACAATAACAGATAAACAGGAAATCCTACAAACTGTCGGAAAATTTTACAGCGAACTCTACAGCAAAACAGAAGAAAATGTTCCAACTGACAACATACCAAAGGTTCCAAACCAGGGCTCGGAAGACATACCAGATGTTACTGTTGATGAAATCAAAAAAGCTCTCCTACAAATGAAAAATAATAAGTCACCTGGCGACGACGGAGTCGTTGCCGAAGCCATAAAATTAGGAGGCGAGAAACTGATACAAATGCTTTCCATACTTTTCACAGGATGCCTTGAAAGAGGAACAACACCATCACAATGGCAAAATGCAGTGATCATTCTAATGTTTAAGAAAGGAGATTTAACAAATCTCGTAAACTATAGACCAATCAGCCTCATCTCACACATATACAAGCTTTTTACAAAAGTCATAACAAACAGACTTTCGAACAAAATGGACTTTCACCAATCATGCCAACAGGCAGGATTCAGGGCAGGCTTCGGCACAAACGACCATCTACAAGTTATTAAAAGCCTCATCGAAAAATGTATAGAGTACAATAAACCCCTCGTCCTAATATTTGTGGATTATGAGAAAGCATTCGACACAGTAAACCACCAGAAAATGCTAGAAGCTTTAAAAGAGTGCCGAATAGATCACCGCTATACCACTGTCATCAAAAATATCTATGATAATGCCACGGCATGCGTCAGACTCCATAAAGATACACACAAGTTCAACATTCATCGTGGAGTTCGCCAGGGCGACACCATTTCACCAAAACTGTTTACAACATTATTGGAATACATGTGTAAGCGTGCAAACCTAGACGAAAAGGGCATAAACATAAATGGAGAGCAACTTAGTCACCTCAGGTTCGCCGACGATATAGTCCTGATAACAGACCGCATAGATCATGCCATCGAAATGTGCGAAAGACTCTACCATGCCTCTACGTAAGTGGGTTTAAAGATCAATAACTCAAAAACACAAGTGATGACAAACCTTGTTCTGAGTGAGAACGTCACCATAGCTGGAACAAGTATAGAACAAACATCAGCATACAAATATCTGAGACACGAAATTCGCTTAAGTAGAGATAACCAGACCAATGAACTAATACGTAGAATAGGGTTGACATGGGCAGCTTATGGAAAGCTAAGAGATGTTTTCCAATCAGCTCTTCCCATCTGCTTGAAGAGAAAAGTCTTCGATCAATTTGTGCTGCCGGTTCTAACCTATGGTGCGTAGACGCTAACACTTACTAAGACATCCGCAAACAAAATTCGAACAACACAGAGGGCAATGGAACGGTCCATGTTGGGATTAACCCTGTGAGACCGAATACCCAACACAGAATTGCGCCGTAGATCGGGAGTAACCGACGCAATCAAAAGAATATCAACCTTAAAATGGAACTGGGCAGGGCACGTCGCGAGAACGAAGGACGGCAGATGGACAAAACGCATTCTTGAGTGGAGACCCAGACAAGATGCCTTTAGGAATAGAGGACGACCACCAACAAGATCGACGGATGACCTGAAACGGACACATCAAAATTGGATGCAGGCGGCTCAGGACAGAAATTTGTGGGGTGAACTACGGGAGGCCTATGTTCAGCAGTAGACGAGTATGGGCTAAATGATGATGTTATGGTGGCGTTAGGAGCAAACATAATAATTAATTGGATTTGTTTAACATATAAAAAAATAAATAAATAATAAAATTACTTGTAAATGTAATCATTATCATTGGTGCTACAGCCCTATAAAAGAGCCTCGACCTTCCCAAGTCTATTACGCCAGTCAATTCTATCCATTGCCAGGTGTTGCCACTTTTCTGCGCCTATTTTTCTACTATCCTCATTTACACCATCCCTCCATCTGAGTTTTGGTCTATCCCTACTTCTACTTCCCACAGGTTGTGACATAAGGATTTTTCTAGAAGAGGATGGGGGTTGTTCTGCTGTAATCTTGCCAGATGTCCTGCCCATCTTAGTCTTCCTATTTTTATAAGAGATACTACGTCTTTACCACCAAATGTATGTTTATATCTGTGATATATCTCGTAGATGTACCTCCTTCTCCAAACACCATTTTCACAGATGCCACCGAATATTCTTCTCAGGATCCTTCGTTTAAATATAAGCAGGAGGTTTTCATCTGCCTTGGAAATGGTCCATGGCTCCTATCCATATGTCAACACTGGTTGTATAAGGATTTTGTATATGGTTATTTTTGTTTTTTTTGGCTTAAGTTTCTGCTTCTCATATGTCTACCGAGATGTGAGAATTAATTCGAGAATATAATTCGAGAACAGAACTTGATCAAATTTTTGTCAGAAACTAATGATACAACAGAGGATATCTTGCATGAAGAAGAGACCGCCGTACCAGTTGTCAAAAAAAAAAGCAAATGCAGACATTTTGGCAAAAAGGATTGAATACGAGAGGAGAATAAAAGGAAGAGAAAGTTGGGCTCCGAGTTTTTTGGGAAGACGAAAGAAGGTAATAAATAGACATATGACTTCAAGAGACCCAGAAAATCCATGGCAGAGACATGTAATTGCAAGTTTAACCCAAAAACTTCAAAAAGAAAAGAAGTTAACCGTTAATTTATTAACCCAACGAGTAAATACTTCCAGGTCTAGAAATAGAAAGAATAAGGAGACATCTCAAAGAGCATGTTCTTATTATTATTATCTTGAAAAAAAAATGGATTAAAATTAAGAGTTTGCAAAAAACTATTTTCAAATACATGAGGCTTGAAACCTAGGGCAATACATAATTGGTTAAAAGGTTACCGCATAAGTACAGAAAATACTGAGGATATCAAAAAAACAAATTATGAAAATACGAGAGGATTAGAAAAAAACAAGAAAATCTTCTCAGATACAACACTTGCAAGATTTTTTTTATGAAGACGACAATAACTGCTTAAAATTTTTGGAGCGACAGATGTGGCTGCCATAATAGGAATGCATTATTAGAAAATTACAATAATTCAGAAGTACCTCGAACGAGATCGTACTCACAGGGAATGTGATTCTATGCATTCCGTTATTGAGCGCAAGTTACGAAATAGTAATAAATGTACCGGCAGATTATGTTGATGTTTGTAGAACAGCTAGACTACTTCCCAATAATTATAACGTAGAGTACCTTACACATAGCTTTTTTGATCAAAAAAAATTTAAAAAATTATAAAAAAAAAGGAAAAAAATTTTGATCAGGTAAATTTTGTCAATTCAATTAGACCTGGACGCAAAGCTGAAGATCCAACGGTTAATAATGTCAGGGCTTATAGGTACAATTCAAGATAACAGGGAATTGTGTGTTTGTAGGACATTAAAATTGGGAAATATCTTTCAGAGCTGATATTTCCGGAACTGATAGAATTACATAAACCTCGGTACTTTTTTTATCGTTTCCAAATATATATTAAACAAATATTACACTTATAATCTCTTATTGTAAAATTTTGCAAGTTCTAGATGTACAAGTACGTTTTATTATATTTAAACACCGTACGGCCTACTTCCCTTTTACAGTTAAATTTTTGTTCGTAGTTATGTTTTTTACTCTCATTTTTTTGTTATACGTGTCAAATAAAAATCAATTACTACACTGACCTACAAATTAAATTAAGGAGATAAAGTGAGACAACTAAAGAATAAATCACATGAATACAACATATCAGTTTTTATGACATTCATAGATTTTAAAATCGTATGAGATGCGGTCAAAATATGCATAGATTTATTAAAAGCTTTCATATGAAGCCCAATAGACTATTTTAGTGACTTTTAAAAATATGTACCCAGGAGAGAGAATCTTGTTGCTGACAAAGAATGTAGAGCGTAGAAGCATTTTAATTAATTTTAAACTGTTTGTCCTTGGTTTAGTGTAGTGTTTTGTACCATTTTGTGTTATAATTCATGTTTATCACATTCTACGCTTGCTGGATAGCCCAAATTTGACGAAATGCCCTGAAGATGCTGGGGCTATATATATATATATATATATATATATATATATATATATATATATATATATATATATACCGGGTGGTGAATCGCAAAACGGGCCATAGGAAATTCAACGGGAAATTCTTAATTGTTGAATTCCTGCTTCCCTAATTATTTTACATCGAAAGTCATAGGAAACTATTTATAGATGACTGAAATATGTATTAAAAACAAATGTTAAAATTAGTATTCTGTGATTTTACTGTCGATTTCATTGAAACATGCGCTTAGTATGATAAAGGATCATGAAAATTTAGTAGCAATTATTGTAGACAGTATTACTTTGGTGCCTCCAGTAAATGCATGTAAAGTCACAGCACACCAGTGACTTACAAGGTCCTGCAAATATAAATGTGCAAAAAAAAGTCAGGTAAAGGGTTTTAAAAAAATCTACCACTGGATAAAAAAGGACATTCCGACAGATGCAATATTTTTGTGTAGAAATATCAGAATGTGATTCTAAGAATTTTACATAAGAAACTTTGATATATTGTTACACATAGGCTGTCCTATTTTTAGGCAACTAAGCACTAAAAGTGAAACTGGAACAAACCATGAAGTGGAGATATCCATGAGTGGCTAGTATACCTGTTGAATACAAAGCATCTGGTGGTCGTGTGTACTAAGGTATAAAAAATGCTTATTAAAAGCTTTAAATGTTTTATCTTAAAAAAGATCTTTTCGGAATTGAATCATTCCATCATCAGTTTAATAAAAAGTTGTCAACAAACATTGTATGGCCACATGAAAACATAGGAAGAAACTCCGTATTAAAAAACAACCCTCATGGTGTTTATGAAGGTAAATGCAATAGACTGTTAGTTTGTTGATTACTAAAATCTGAAAATGGGGTCATTTTACATGACCCCCTTAGTTGGTGAGGTTTTATTGACTTACATTACCTCTAATCTATGCTGGTATCTAGAGCTAACTGAAACTAAAACTAAGCATTGATAGGTAAGGTATTTGCATCTTCTGATAGCACGTAGCAATATTTTTAAAGTTGCATTTCAAAATTAAAAAAAAAAAGAAATAAAAATAAAGAGAAACGTTTAATATTTAAATTATATGGTTATCTTATACCGTCAACAAAAAAAGCATAACGGTAACTTAATTTTCTATTTCGATTGACGATTGAAAAATATTAAATTATACTTGAACTTACCAACACCAAATGTGTTCGGGTTGGTAGAAATGATTATAAATTAACTATTTTTTATATCAATTCTTTTACTTACTTTTGGTTCAGATTTCTGATACTTGTAGTTTCTAAAATCTGATGTGGAATTAACTCTTCTTGGAAGAAAATAAGCAGATGGAATTTCATTAGTTGATATGGCATGTCTGACTCGTACTCCATTCTTTGACCTGTCCAATATGTCATCTGTGCTGACTAATGATAGTTCATCTCCTTTAACTCTAATAGGTACAGTTCTTATTGAGTTTGTCTATAAAGGCAGAAAACAATAATAAGGAATTAAAAATTTTAATAAAATAAATGAACAACACATGAAACAGACAAATAAACAGATAAATGTTTCTTCAGTTCACTTACGCAAAAACAAAGACCCTTAAAAAACTAAAGAAAATTACATAAACAAAATCAACGGCATGAGACATGTATGAGGTACTATTTAAATGTAAAGAACAATAATTATTAAAAAAAAATTGAAAACAGTGGAAAAACTTAAAAATAATTAATATTAATATTAATACAGACAAGAACAGATGTATCAGTTCCTATGGTGCTTAAAAACAGAAAAATTGCATAAATATCCAACCAGTATGGTAAAACGAAGCTTAAAGTTTCGCAAATATATAAAGGGCTATGATGACAAGTCACACCGTTACTACTAAGGTAACGACGCCATCTATGAAAGAAATATCAACTAGCATATTTCAATTATATTTTGTACTTGAATGAATAATACTGTATTACTTATATATTATTTTAATTAATAATTAATTTTATTAATATTTTTAAGGTAGAATTTAATATAAAATATTTTAAAGTTTTATTATTTATGCTGTATTATTTCATTAGTAGCAATCATTAATTTAATTAATGATTACTACTATTATTATTTTTAAGGTGATTTAATACAAAATAATTTAAAGCTTTATGTTAGTTTAGATATAAAATCCTAACGCCATCTGAACAAAGAAATCTAAACGACTGGCATTTCGAGTCAATCATAGTAAGTTCTGGAAACGATATGTTTAATTAATAATATAAAAAATATACATTTTTTAAGGTACAATATAATACAAAATAATTTAAAGTTGTATATTGGTTAAGATTTAAAATTCTAGCGTCATCTAGAAAAAAAACTGACATTTCAACCTATGAGTCAATCATGTTTTGTTCTTGAAAGGGTACTTTTAATTAAAAATGCTAACAATATTAAACAATTTTTTTTTGTTCGCAAAATTGACGAAAATCTTGGTTGCTGTATTTTAAAGGTAAGATTTATTTTTCAAAATAATTTAAAGCTTTATAGTTTATATTTATTTGGTTTATATCCAAGAAGGTAAATGCTTGTTTTTGTACGTATTTGTCGTACTTATAAACAATATTAGATATGCAGACGATACAGTGTTGCTATAAGAATTCTTAGATGTTAGGTCTTCAGTGTCTTCTTCTGGAGGACACTGAAGTGTAGCGGTAGCAAGCTGGAGTATTACAGAATATGTCATAAAACGGTTAGAAGCATTTGAAATGTGGTGCTACCGACGTATGTTAAGGATCTCATATATACACTATGTAATAATCTGGGACAGGTCCTGTAACGAGGAGAAGGAGTGGGCTTACTTTTGGTAGAGTGGGCTGTCACCAATGTAATAATCTACTACAGATTTACGAGAAGTGGAGAGGGATTAAGGACTGCTATGTATAGGGTCCTGTAAAGACTGTCACCAAATGTAAAATACAATAGATCCTCAAGGGATGCTAACCTGCGAGCGGCTGCAAGGAATACTGGTCACACTGGTCTGGAGGGCTGGCTCGTCTTCGTGGATTTACGAGAAGATAAGGGATTTCGGGATAGGGGTAAGAACTCCTCGGTCTCAGGTCCTGTAAAGAGTAGAGGTTATGGGCTTACTTTTGAAGCCGGAGATATGTATACGCAGAATTCTCGTGTTCTCCTAGTCTCTAGTGAGTCGGACGAAGGAACATTAAAAAAAAAACCATATTAGAGTCAACAATATATTGAATCTACCCTGAAGTTCCTAATACAATCGTTAAACACGTTATTCTGCGCGTCGGGAGACGATGTAGCAAGATAGTGAAAAGTTGACAGAGGTACAAATATAATTACACAGGTTAGTATAAGAAATCTGTTACCTTATGTGTATATTAGGGCTTCAACCACGACGCGTTCAGTCTTCTGGAACTCGGTCAGTTGAGGGTTGCGAACTTTCGAGCTGCCACAATAACCGGACTACACGCGAATTCTCCAGCTGATACCCGGCCCCCGGAAAATCACCGACTGTCTCGCGTACTGGACGCTCCCGGAGGGCAATTACTGCCTCGGGCAGTCACGGCTGCCCGCTATCACTGACTACTCATTACTAACTGCCCGGCGTCCGTCGTTTCTTCTTGTTTTATTGTGGTCGTACTTTCAACGCCGGTTCTAGTACCAAGGTCGTAGGTTCGCTGAGTTGCAGTTTTGGTATTATTGCTGCCTATTTGGGTCACGGATGTTTCGTGCTTTTTATACGTTTAAACAATTATCAAACAATGCAATAACTAGGTCAATTGTTATACTTTGTATAATTTAAATGTATAAGTTAACTGTATTAATTATCCCTTATTTAATTTGGAATATATAATAATTATCTCGAATAATTATTATCTTTTCTATGCTACTTATTGTTCCATTATCCCTTTATTCCAACTTCTCACTCACTTGCTACGCTTACATTACATTACTCCCTACGCAAAAAAAGAAAAGGGCCGAGGGGCCTTTTCCTTTTCCAACAATAAATTTATCTATTTACATATTATATTACTTATAATCTACTATATATATTTTTTATATAAGTCCCAATTTATATTTTATCATTTACTGTTTCTTATAGACTATTGTACCGTGGTCAGCGAATGTATCGTGCTGCCCCCGTATTGAACCTATGTGTATGACAAGTTGAGTTAATCTTGTATTAATCTTATTGAAACTTAACAAGTGAAAGACTTTCCTAGCTTATTACAATTGTTCGTGATTACATGTGTCCATTACGACAAGCGTATTCTAATTGTTCTATACGATTGTACTCGCGTTTTGCGTTCACTGTTCACACTTTATCGCGTATCCCTGTGGGAATTATCCGCACTTCACTCGCGTCGTCTTGGCTGTTTTAATGTCCGTTTGCCAATTCCACGTGTCGAGTTAATTATATTGATGCGTTACTGCTGCTGTCTGCCTCCGTTGGTTTGTCCTTGCTGGGTGGTCGTCTCAGGTTGATACTGCTTTGCTTTGTCGCATTATACTTCTGCTATATTGGTATCTGGTATGTGTTTGCTGCATGTGTACCCTGGCCTGTTCTGCATGAGTTGACTGACGGCATTAGGTAAGGATGGGGCCATTAGTAATCTGTTTTTTTTTTTTAATTTCTCTTTTTGTTTGGCATCGTCGCAGTACTGTGTCTAAGTATAGCTTTTCTATTTCTCTTTGGTAGGATTGTTTGGTGTAAAGGAATTTGCTATTTATGTAGGTCATTTGGTCTACGTTTTGAGGTAGGAGTGGCATACTAGGATTTATTTTGTTTACGAGGAAATTTATTAGGATTCGGGGGTGTTCAGTTTGCCATACTTCTGTGTTACATATTATAGCCCTTTTGTGTAGCATTAGAGCAAATATGTTTTTATCTTGTTCTACTAGTACCAATTCTTCTAGTGATTGTTTATTTGTGATCTTCTCGCCGTGTCCTTTGTGTAAAGTTGTGACAATTGACTTTCACAACTGTTGTGTTTGTATTGTTCCCAGGTTATTTAGCCTATTGTAGAGTCGTATCGATCGGTAGCGGTGTATATTTCAGCATTCTTCTGCTCCCATCTTCTTGATGTAGCTGTCTAGTCCTCCATCGACTATGGACGTGTGGCTGTACATCCCACAGTGAAACATGAGTCTCTCCATCGTGATGAGTCTCTCCAGTGTCACAAATCGCACTGTTATTACTTCCCGAACGATCGCACTCCCGTAAGCAGACTTTAGTTCGCATTAGTACTTTTTACGCGTAAGTCCAAACGCACATTAACCTATAATTACATGTATAGCTGCTTATTGCAGACAATTTTAGCGATAGCTTTACATAAATCTGACTTATAAACTAACCTACAGTGTATTGCATATTAGTATGCCTATTCACCCTAAATTGATAAATAAATTGATATCTAAACCAATATTAATATGTTACTAATTGGGACTTGTACTTTTTAATTATTTACAATATAATATATCATCTTTTTGTTATATATACACCCTGTATATTAGATATGTATTAGATATATTTTTAATTCTCAACTTGTCATCACTTATTGTTTATAGTTACGTATGTGTAACGAATTTTCCTTATTTGAAAAATATTTTAATTACTATATTTACTCTTAATAAAGTGTCAGAAATTATTGTAATATTTCTCACTCTTTCCCAAATCTTTTTAAAATAATTCAAAGGTGAAATTTATTTTGATTTCTCGTCAAACACAATGACTTGTTTTTAATGTTACGATATTTATGTTTCAAGGCTATTTAATTACTTTGCGCTGAGACTGAATTTTTATATACTCACGTTGTTGATGAAATTTGATACTGACTAATGTAATGAACTCTTGGTGTCTGTTATAAACTACAATATTTATTTTTTTTTAATTAAAAAAAACGTTTTCTAAACTTGACTTTTATTAGTTGTTTATTTACCAGTGCTCTGACTCAATCTTTATACTACTTTATTAGTTGATAGGAATTCAAGTCTGTCAATCAGTTTTGACATAGCAATAAAGGATTGGCGTATGGTATCTTACCGATCCAGTTCTTACTAATCAACAGCAGCTTAGACCCCTATAAACTTTAAATTAATTTACTTATTTCTCTTTCTTAAAACTTGCTTTTAGTTATGATCTACTATTATGTTTTCAAAAAATTTGTTTTCATTGAACTGTGCTAATATTTAACTATGAATGCCTATATTACCTGTGTTTTGTACTTCGTTCCTTGTAATTTCCTTGTAATACCAAGCTTTCAACTTTTCTTATAGTTGTTTTGATATTTTTTCATTATTCATCTGTTGCGTCGAAAACATGTCTGTGTCCTCATCGCTCTGTGTTATTATTGCTGTCTCATTCTTGTTTATTATTCTGTTGTACGTGTTCCATCCTTTCTTTTTCGTTTTGTGGAATATGCCGCAACATTTTAGTCTTTTCTTTATTCGTTCTGATATTTTTGGTTGGC